AAAGATTTCATTCGTTCTCGAGGTGTTCTTCAAGATTCTTGTTGCAGGAGTTCAAGTAATCTTCTTCTTGCGTTTCGAAGTGCAGTTCTTTCTATCTTATCTTTTGAGGTGGTTTTATGTCATTCTTGATAATTTTCCTTCATGCTTCATGATTCACATGTTGTCAAGAATGAGGTATTTTAAATCCATCAATCTCTTCGTTGGAGTTATCTTGGTAAAGATTTCACCTAAAGCCTTCCCTAAGGAATGTTGTTATATGTGGTGCTTATCAATGATCCAAGTTTTATCTATCCTCTCAGCGAAAGAAGTTTTGCTTCTCTTCGTTGATCTCAACCAATCAATTGATTTCATTAGTGGCAGAATTTCACCTCAAGTTTTGAGATGTTTCCATAAGCCCACGAGGAGCATATCTTTTGTTGTTGATTTTCCAACAACTCCGTTCAACCCTTCTTCGTAGGAAGGCTCATTCATGTTCATTCATGGTGGAAGTTGTTGTTCTTTTCTCCCGTTCTTTTCATTTCATTCTTTCATTTCTTCCGGAGGCATTCTGTTGTTGCTCTCGTCAAGTATCATCTTATTTGTCAAGATCATGTTCTTTTCTTCCTTATCCATTTAACAGGAGTATTGTGTCCTATATTTAAGTTCTTTTCAACTTATCAAGTTTTCCTTCTCTTTTCTATCGGAGTGCTGTCCAACTTCCGTCATTCTTGTTCCTTGGCTATCTCATTATAGTGTTGTGGTCATATTCTTGTTGGTTCGTTAAGCTCTTGTTTCATGTCTTTCAACCTACAAGGTTCTCGTAATGTTCCTTGTTCCTCTTGTCTAACGAAGTGTTTCAATTCCTTTCATCTCCGTCGTGTCATTTCTTCAAGTTTTCTACCTCTCAAAGTTTGTTGGTTTCACTCGTTTGTCAAAGAAGCAACTTTGTTTTACCTCTTCCTTTTTCGCTTCTCTCCGGTGCCATCCCTAGGATCTCGGGTCGAGATCCTCTGTTAGTCTGGGAGAGTTGTGACGCCCCGAGACCGACGCTCTAAACGCCTTCCATGTATTCCGAGTTTCGTCGTGTGATTTCTTTTGCTTGTTGCATTCGTCATTGCATATTTTGCATCATTTCATCATGCCATCATATCATTGATTTTATAGCTCTTCTAAATAAATTGTATGGATCTTTGATCCATTTAAATCGAGGGAAATTCACATGGTGAAATTCTCTTCAAAACATATCAAAGTCTCCCAATATTATTAAGGAGCTATAATAAAATATTCCGTTGATTTGGAATCACCAAAAACAAACTTGCATTTTAAATATCTCTCATTTTCAAATATTCTAAGTCTTGATCTTTCTCCAAATACTTAAATTCCAGTTGTGGCACTTTGAAATATGTCAAAGTAGCTCCATGCCAGTTTTCAACTCAACTTGTATTTATTTGGCCCTCCAAATAAATATTTTGCTTCGATCCCTTTTCTGTAAATAGAAAAGGATTTCCCCCCTTCTTTTCTTGTAGTCCAGCCTGCTAGGCCTCCTGGCCTTTTTTCTCCTCCACCGAAATGGCCCAAGGCCCACCTAAACCCTAGCCCCTCACTCAGCCCGATCCCCATTCTCTTAATCCCCTTCCTCCAGCGTCGCCACAAGGGAGGAGCCCCTCGTACCAGTGCCTAATCCCCATCGCCTCCTCCTGTCTCTTGCCGCACCGTGCCCGAGGTCCTGGAGCCCGAGCCGTCCCCGAGCGCCTCCTCTTGCTGCTTCATCCCTGCACCATCCGGAGATCCCCGCCTCGAACCCGCCGTCTCCATCTCGTTCTGCGCCTTGTTGCTGCTGCTGGCCATGATCTCGCCGACTACTTGATCAATTGAAAGTATAGCGGGGTTTTTACGCCCAAACTACGGATGTCGTGTTCTCCTTAGGGACTAGACAAGTCAATGATCGTGCTCGTATAAAGCTAGGTAACACAATTCAGCTTATGAATGCAGAAATAAAACCTAAACTATCAATGATTGTAGCCAATGAAAATGAAAAGATTTTGCTCAATATCTTCTTGGTATTTTCATTATCCTTGAGAATCTAAAACACTAACACAAATGAGAATCAATATTAGGGAAAGCTGCTGGACAAGAACACATATAAGAGCATCTCCAATAGCATGTGCATATTTGGATGTCTATATATTCATATAGACAATGGTCTAAAAAGATTCCCTCATATACACATCCAGTTTTGCATCAAAACGTCTATATACAGGGACCATGACAGGTGGGCTGTTGCTGGGGAGAGGAAGAAATCATGACTACAACTGAGTTTAGACAACGCCGTCACATTGTCCAGGCATGGACATTGTCGAGGTCGATTTAGAGGATGTGTATATTTGGACAACCATATAGACAAGCTGTTGGACGCCTGTTTTGGGCTCACATCGTGGAAAACGAGTATAGACATCCATATAGACAAGCTATTGGAGATGCTCAACTATCATACATGAACAGAATATATATGACGTATATAGCTAGTACTCATACAATCTAAATGAGAGTCACAATGTAACAGTACAACTCTCACAACACAAACACTCACACATATATAACTAGCAATGACAGAAGGAAAGAAACAAGCTAATATGATAGGGACAAAAATATATCACACATATGCAAACAGGGGGAGGTTACAAGACACAATTCTAGTACTCTGAGATGAACAACATAAGTACTATTAATCAAGCACAAGTCTGAAACTGAACAAGTTTCAAGCACTACTGAAATCTGAACATTACAAAGCATTACACATCTCAGCTTACAGAAAATTTAGAGAGAGAGAGAGAGAGAGCAGGAGTAGGGGATTCAGACTTTAGAGAAGAAGGAAGCAGCAAACAGATTCAGGAAGAGAAGAAGAACAGCAGCAAAGGGGCGAAGGAAGTGCAGGAGCGAGGTAAGAAGAAGGAGAAGATGCAGTAGCAGGGACGTGGGGATAGAGAGCAGCAGCAGCGTGAGAAGCAGAGGCAGGGGCGCAGCAAGAGAGGGGCAGCAGTTTCGTGATGGAGAAGAAGCAACGGGGCTTGGAGAAGAAGAACAACAGCAGGTTCGTGGGGAAGAAAGGCAACAGGAAGTCACGCGGGGCACCAGACCCCTGGTTTGGTAGGGCGCGCGAGTGATGGTGGTGAAGGGGTGGCGATGATGGATGGTGCAGCGGCGCGAGGTGGTGATGGAGTGGATGGATGGTGGTGTATGGAGGTGCTGGTGGACGGAGGGCACGGTGAAGGTGGAGGCGCGGTGGAGCGGTGGGGCTGCTGGATGGATGGGTCGCGGAGGAGCACCACCACGCCGGCCTGGCCGTGGCGGCGGCCAGAGGAGAAGGAGGGATGAGGGAGAGAGGGATGTGCGTAGCGAGGCCCGATCCAAAATTGAGGCTGCACTAGGGATTTTGTTCCCCTTCTCTTAGTTGCCATATTGCACTTTTGCCCTCCTCTTCTCAACTTTCTACACAAGATCCATTCTTCATTTAGTTTGCGCCCCTGGATACTTCTTCCTTCATAGTTGGGTCCCTCTTTCTTCTTTTCTTCCCCCTAGTCTTACTCCTCAATTCTTCTTTCCTGCTCTTGACTCTTCTCGTTATCCGCATTGTCGAAATCATGAAGTTTATAGTGCCTATGCGCACTTTTCTGCAAAATAAATAAATGACTATTCACAATCTCTTTTATGACTATCAATCAAATATTCGATATTTTTTAGAAAGAATAGATGGACACATCTCAAGAAATGGTGAATTTGTGTGTCAAAATTATATATATGAAATGTGCTTATCAAGTTCCCCCACACTTAAACTTTTGCTTGTCCTCAAGCAAAGGCATATGACAAGAGCAAGATAGTGAATAGTGAGCTGACTAGAGAATGCCAAGTGAAGTAGATCTCTAAACAAGGCATGCTTTGGACTTAGCTAGTGAAAATCAATGGTCAAGAGTGCCACAAAGCAATAGGCTACTAGTAGACTCGGTCATTTTAAACTATTACAATGATAAAAGAAGATAACAAGTTCAAATGTTATTTGCGCCAAATGGTTCCTAAAGAGAGCATGATCCCGAGAACAAAAAGAACTGGAATTAAATCTCTTATTTGCAGAAATATAACTTTGTGGTTGAACCACTTATTGAATTTGAAAGAAACACACATATTATTTTATTAGTCTCACCGAAGGAACATACCACCGATCCCGAGAACATGGTATACACCTGGTTCAACCAATTATTATTAAAAAAATGTTTGTCTCCCCAAAGGAACATACCACCGATCCAGAGAACATGGTATACACCTGGTTTGACAATTACAATTTTTATTATTAATTACTGCCCAAGCTAACCCGATTTCACATGCCACCGATCCAGGGAACATGACATCCTACTGTAGGTAGTCAGACCTATTTATTCATTATTACTTATCTTAAATGAACAACACATAAGCACAAAAACAGGAATCATCACTTCTCCATGTCTGGTTCACATGCTACCGATCCAAGGAACATATCATACTAGTCCATAGTGGTAAAGTGATTGCTCTCAATGGGAACACAATAGGCAAAAACTCAGCATCTAACACTTAATGATCTAGGTTTATCGAGGTAAAAGCAGAAAATGATTAAGTTTTCTAGTGTACTAGGGATTTGAGCACTCAAAAGTCAAAACTAATAGTTTTCACTAATTTCATCCAAGCAAGCAATATGTAGATCACTAGTTTACATGGCATTCAACAATCAGTTCGCATATTCTCATCAAGCACCATATGTCAAAAAAAATCAGTGGGGCAACATTTAAGACATGGCTTAAGCAACCCAAATAACATTTGATTTTAGCATGTATCAATGGATGATATACTTGGAATGGGTCATGAAACAGCTCACCGGGCACTATGAAGTAGCAATCGCTTGATCACTCTCTAAGCTACGGCTCTTCTTCTTTTGCTTCAACAAGCATACTCCATCTTCACTCTTCTTCATGTGTGCCCCTTGCTTCTCCTCTTCACCATGATCTGAGTCCACTAGGGTCCCAAGGAATGTCACCTCGAACCTGGTCAGCATGAAGTGAACGGTGCAGAAGCAAAAACCTGGAAAAACACTCAACAAAAGAGACAATGCAAGTGGCAGGGATAATACCCTCCAAGTTATCAATCGAATGTCCAATTACATAAGCATAGCTATAAAGCACATGCTTAGGATGGTAGAAATCAGCAAGGTCAACACTAACATGAGGATGATATTTATCATTAAGCTCAAGACTAGCATGGGAATGATATGTTTCATTAAGCATAGAACTCTAGCCATTCTCACAACGGGATAATAAAGCGAACAAAGACAATGAGAAGAGATTACAACACGAGGAAAGTAACTGTGATCATCACTAATGAGAGTAATGCCACTAACAGGGTGTGCATGATCATGTCCAAGCAAATAGTTTTCCAAATCTACCTTAAGTGATGGCATCATGCAATGCAAGTTAGAAGCAACGAAATCATAAGGGAGCATGTCATCAAGAGGATTGGGTAAACATGACACATCATGCTCATGTATGACAATAGGCCAATGAATCTCAGGTTCTTCATCTTCATCTACAACAGCTTCTTTTACTTCTTCAGGAGTAGTAGATGATGAGTTTTCAACTTGATCACTTGGGAGTTGCAGCTCCTGATCATCTTGTTCCTTGTCTTCTAGTTTATCTTCTTCAATATGTGGTATCTCTTGCTCAAGTGTAACACCCCAAATTTTCAATTTGGAATGTTATACATTAGGTCATCATGCATATCATATTTTTCTCGCATTTTCCGATCCTAGAAATTTTCACGCAACTCAAGGACCCTCGGAGAGAGTTGGAAGTTTCATTATTTTCATATTTGGGATTTCTCAAATTTTGAAAATAGGATCATTTGGATTATTTTAATTATCTTCATAAAGTTTTTCCTATAAAAATTTTTGAGAGAGGGAATAATATGACTTTCCCAAATTTAGGGAAAAATGAAGATTTAATAAATAAATTCATTTTGGTTTTTGCCGGAGTTTTATTTGCGTTTTATTTGCCTTAGGGAAAAATGCGTGTTTTTAAAAAAATTGCATTTAGGCCTCGAGTAAAGTTCATTTTTGTTCGACTCATTTTTAGGAGTCGGGGAAAGTTTACTGTATTAATTTTGGAGTTCGTTTAGATTTTTTTTTTTGTCTCTCTGCGCGCGAGACCGTTTTAAAAAAAAAACTGCAGCGCCTTGGGCCAAAGGCCCAAGCTGCTAGCCGCCGGCCGGCCAAGGCCACCGCGCGCGCACGCACCAAGGGGGCCAGGGAGCCACTCCTTTTTCCTTGTCCTAGTAGGACTCTTTTCCTACTTCGTTTATTCCGTATCTAATCCTAGATCTATTCCTAATCCTAATCTATTTCTTGTCCCCTACCCCAAGCAAAACCCTCCCCTCCCCAATATAAATACCCAAGCACCCCCCCCCTCTAAACCATCAAACCAACACCTCTCCTCTCCTCTCCTCCGCCCCTCACCGCGCCACCCCTCACCACCGCGCCACCCAACGCCGCCGCCGCCACCCGCCGCCGCCGCACCCCACACGCCGCCGCCGCCTTACGCCGCCGCCGGAGCCCCTCGCTCTTCGAGGTACTAGCCCCG